CTGCATACTTCTTTATTTTTTAATATCATCTAATACTTTTTGTTTCATCTTGCTTTTAGCCTACCTCTCTCTACTTTTGTCTGCCATATTTTCTTTATTATTAGAATATCCTTCATCAATTCTATATATTACATTCTTCTAATGTCTGTCTTATATATTTGTATATTTTCATGTCTTCATGACATTTCCCCTAATTTATCTCCCATTTTTATGCCAATTTTTTGAATTAATCATGTCCCTCACTATATTTGTCTCCCATATTTTCTTCCTTATGGGAATGCCATCATTTTTCAAATTTCTATAAACTCTTCCATTGATTGTATTTCTGTAATTTTTTATATATATTTCTATACATTTTTTGTTTCATCTTCTGAGATATATTTCATCATTTCTATGATCTGTATAGAATTATAGGATTTTCTAATTTATTTTCAAGCCAGTTTTTCAATGCATCATATCTCTATTTCACTATTTGGCTCCTTCATTCTGGGGGGTGTAAAGCTAGTTCGCCTCCACGTGGTGCACCCTGGGTAACGCTAAATGAACTAGCAGAGACTGGCAGTCAGACGATCTTAGGATCTCCTCTTCATAAGACATATTTCCAAAGTTTCACTTTTCTTTAAGAGATATGATGCTATCAAACAAGACAAAGGGTCTTTCTCTACATTATTTTTCTTCTATATTGATTGTATTTCTAAATCTCTTCTTTTATGTGTATTACTTCTTATTTTACTGTAATTCTTCTAAGACTTCCAACTTCCAAGTCTTTGATTTCTTTGCTATTGATGCCTACATGGAATTGTATAGTTTTCGATTCATTTTCTAATTGTTATTTCTTTCATTCCGTTTTTAATTCCTTTTACAATTGAGTTTGTGAATGGGATATTGTACTGCTTTGGAACAAGGATTTTAAGGGACAGCTGCACTTCAAGTCAACCATCCCCTTCAAGATCTCATTAGGTTGATTAAATTCAACATTCAACAGTGGAGTGAGGATGAAATTCATCACTGAGGAAGACCTAAATAATTTTAGGTAAGATAATATATAATAAAATGTTTTTTTAATCAAATATTTTTAGTAACCACATTTCTTATTTTTTTAAAATATATAGATGGTAATTATGATAATACTATTTATTTCTTTTTTACAGATTTTGGTCAACAAATCGATGGATGTATACAGTTCCAGGGCAGTACATTTATCCTTCTCATGAATATTACAATGCATTAGGACTTATCTAAATAACTAATTTTTTTTTCTTTTGGGTAAATATATTTTTACTGGTTTTTAACATTCTTCAGTGGATTTCATGATTTTCTAAATTTAATGAAGTAGGAAAAAATTCCATTGAGTCTCAAAGTTACATTTTTATGGTTCCTTATTATCATGGACAAATTCAGAGCATTTATTTTTAATTTGAGCCAATTTTTGGCTTTTGGCCACTTCTTATTCTCTTTTAGGAGACTTTACTCCCATATTTTCTTAACAAGTCTTCTTTTATTGGTATTATTTTTCTTATGGTGTCATTCTTATAATATACTTTTTGGCTTATGTAATTCCTTTTACGGAACTTGTTTTAATGGTTTTATTTTCAAGTCATCTTTCTCAGACCTTGAATTGCTATAATTTTACGAATTTTGTGGTTTTGGTTTGCCTGTTGATAAATTTTTTTGGTTAGCCTTTGATCAATTCCTGGCGCATTCGCCATTTATTTAAAAATCCTGACTCGTCCACGGATGTCGCTTCTATCTTTCCTATCATTTTTTCCAATGAATTTTTCTGCATTATAACTAGCCTCCCCTAAGAGGAGGAAACCTGGGTCACCCCCTAACCCTGATGTTCGGGCATCGATGACCTATGTAGCATGCATAGGTACCCAAGGGAGTCACCACCCTCTGGTTTACGAGCTAGGTGTTCTAACGCTAGAGGCTTCGGCCGGATACGACCTGCCACCCAAGCTCCGAGACTTCTTCGTGCACGTATTCCGTGACCCTCGAAGAGGCAGGGGGCGGGATATCGGACACATTGAAGATGATGAGGGGGGTCCGCCTGTAGGGGGTCCCGGTGGATGTCCGCTCGATGGGTGACGAGGGTGACCCGAGACGAGGCTGCTTAGCTGGGATGGGAACTGACTGGTGAGGCTTAATCGTCGGACAAGGGTTAAATCTGATGAAGGGAGGCGACCTTATATGCTTTGGAGGATTTTTCTTTACACACTTCAGTCATATTTTGACTAAAAATTCGTTAGAGGTGGCTAAGCATAATCTTTGGTGAATGTTCCATTTCTTATTGACTACATACTACTTTATTTTTTCTTTTGCTTTTGGCCTACCTCTATTTCACTATTTTTGTATCCCATATTTTCTTCATTATTGGAATATCATCATTCTATAAACTCTTTCAGTGACTGACTTATATATTTGTATATTTTTTGTCATTCCTCTGATACTTTTCTTTGATATATTTTATCATTTCTATATATAGAATTATAGCATTTTATTCATTTTCATGCTATTTTTTTAATTTTTCATATCTATATGTCACCATTTGTCTCCCATATTTCCGTCCGTATGGGAATGTTACGTTCATCAATTCTATCAACTCTTCCATTGGTTGTATTTCTACATCGTCTTATATGTATATAACTATAGTTTTTTTGTGTCATTCTTCTGAGACTTTTATAAGTTCATCGCACATTTTCATGCAATTTTTTTTAAATTTTACATACCCCTGTTTCTTTATTTATCACTCATATTTTCTTCATTCTTTGAAATCTTCTGTTAATTTATGTATTCCTGAATTATCAGTCATCATTTACTGGTACCATTTTTTTGTATTGTGCCATGGCTATGTCAAGACTTCTCAAAGGCATTTTATTTCACCTGTCTTCTATAGAGTTGTAATTTTGGAATAATTTTCATGATTTATTCAATTCATCATATCCCATACAGAGTATACTTAATTTAAATTTTCTTAAATGTAATTTATTATATCTCTGCTATATTGATTGTATTTCTAAATCTTCTCTGTTATTAAGTTATTGTTTATTTTACTGCTTAATTTCATTTGTATTGATGCCTACGTAGAATTCCCTTTCTAATTCCTTTTAAAATTGAATTTTTGATTGCGATATTGTACTGCTTTGGAACAAGGATCTTTGGACAAGGAGAGTTTCACTTCAATTCAACCACCCTCTTCAAGATGCCATTAGATGGTTAAATTGAACATTCTACAGTGGATTTAGAATTAAATTCACCATTGAAGAGGAAGCTAAATACTAAAAATTGTTTTTTTTTAAATCATATATGTTTAATAAATACCTATTGTTATTGTGTTTTGTAAAATACGTAGATATAAAAAGCATTAATTTTAAATAAAATATTTTAGCGCCACAATTTCCATTAATATAGGCAACTATAAATACACTTGACTTGTATATAGAGTTGCCTATATAAGAGGTGTGAATATTTGAATTAAGTTTTAACTCCTTAATTGATATAATTATTCAAATATTTTATAATTGCAAATTCTACTAACTTGTTTAACCGTGGTTTGTTTTACCCTTGATTATAAATAATTGTTTCTTTATGCATCCTCATTACAGAATGAGGACTCTTCTTTCTCTTACTTCTACCTAGATATCAGCACAGAACAGATACAAATTCTGTTCTGTGATATCAGCATGTCCATCAACACATTCGATTTTAATATACCGTCTATAGTAACAATGTTAATAAAAGTAATATGTTATTAAATAAAACTCTGTAAACTATAAATATTTTTTAGTTAAAAAGTTATATTTCATTAATAAATGTCACTACCATTCTTTATTGTGTATAATTAGAATAGAATATAAATAAAAACATTAGCTATATTATTATATTAGACCTAACATATAGTATTTATTTACCCTGCCACTTAATGGTAACATTTTTAATAGATGTATAAACATTCAAAATGAATGTCCTATTTGAATATTTTTAATAAATATTTTAATATATTAAATGTACATGTGTTTTATTTACAGAAAAATTCCCTTACTGTAACAATTAAAAGAAAGATAGAAACTCTTAGTGCTCCTATTAAATATAACAAGAAAAAATAAAATTGCAACCCAAAATTTTATATAATGGCAAACCAAAAATATAGTCCCAATATAAAATACCTATACGTTAAGAATGATTCTGAAAAATGTATCTCATTCCAGTTGAAAATGAAATTTTTGATGATAAAAATGCGCAAGATTTGCTTACCCCGTGCGATATTTTTCAACACCTCGAACAAATTTTTAACACTAGAGAGAAATGCTGAATTTTGTTGACTCTAAGACTTTGACCTCGTTTTCGAAATTAAAACGCTAATAACTCCGTAATTAAAAGAGCTATCGGGGCGCGCTTGACGCCAATCGATAGGGAATTCAACCCTCTATCTGTAACCAAAATTGCAACCCCCTAGGACACCCTTTATTTTTTGGGCCAAAAATTTTCTAAGGTTAACCCCTTTGCTCATTTTTGCTCCAAAAAATAAAGTTTGTCCTAGGGGGTTGTAATTTTGTGTACAGATAGAGGGTTGAATTCCCTATCGAATGGCGCCAAGCGCGCCCCGATATCTTAATTAGTTTTTGAGTAATTAACGTTTTTGTAAATGAGTCTAACTGTTTGAGCTCGTTGGCCAACAATTTCCCATTTAATTCACTTGAGAAAAATATTTTTAAAAATGGTCATTTTTGGTGGTAGATGTGGCTGTTTTAAGACAAAACAAATAAAATCTTTATAGAATGACGCATGGGTCTGGACTATGAAAGGGTTTATATGTTATTAAATTAATGTACTAATATTAAAGGCAACTAGATTAATAATATTTATTGAATTTCTTCTGAAATAGGTATTTCGATTTTTGTTTGTTTTAGCAACCAGTAATATAACATTTAATATTATATGTTTAAATTTAAAAACTATTCAAGGCAGATTCAAGGTATTCAAATGAAACTATGTACACGAAAACTTTATTATGATTTATTAGAAAAAGACCACTATTAATACAATTCACTTGGATGGATTCTTGATTTTTCTATTAAATTTTCTTTCTGATAAATACTGCATGGATGCTCATGTTTCCAGTAACTCGCATATATTTCTGAAAAGATATAAAAAATAGTTATACAGGGGGTGTTGTATGAATGTTGTCATTGTTTCACAATAATAGACCAAAACACTTTATATCTGCACATTAAAAACTCAGTGAGCAAAGTTTTGTCACATTTAGGAAACAGTTACGTATCTGCCTTTTATTCATTTTTATCAGGCAAAAGAAGGGCCTGGTAATGTAACAACTACGTCACCTAGAACATATTTCCCTTAAAGAAATAAAATGCTCACTGGGAACACAGTATTAATCATCTGCTGATGATGCTAACATAGTTAGCGAAACGCGCGTCCAGTGCAAAAGTAGAATGTTTTGGTGTATTGTGGTGAATTAGTGTTTTATTTTGCTGTTGTAACACCAAAGGTTACAAAAACACACTGAAACAAAGAAAAAAAATTTACCTTATCCTCTGCAAACATATCTTCATAACAATAATACTCCAAAAGAGTATTTTCAAGTTATCTTTATATCAAAGAAAAATCAGGTTTGGGGGGTACAGCATAGAGTCCATGGATTTGAATGTCCGAGAGTATAATTTTTGAAAGACGTATTTGCAGAAACTATTTGAAAGCAGAAATCATCTCGCATTGGTTTTGTTGATTCCAATATTCTTGCTCCAGGTTTACTCTTATTAGGCACACAGTTTCATTGAAAAGCAGGGTACAATCGGTGAGGTTTTCTTACAATATGGCCCGTACACGTCCCCAAAAGATAAATTATCCTTATTTCGTTCCATTTTACGTGATGTATTCTCCTTTCTTCTTCATAGCAAGCTCTCTTCACTGTATTATTACATATCTGTAAAAAAAAGTTACGTCTGTATACTGTCTTCAGAGATTACCCTTAAAAATACGAATTGTAGATAAACAATATTAAAAATTAATTATAAAGAATATTATATAGATCGTAAATTGTAACTTAAGCATTGGATTTATTAGAAAACTGAAAATATATGGAAAATAGACTGATTCAAATCGGTTTATTCTTAAAAATTACTTTTTTCTAAGGTTAGAATCAAAATTAGTATAAAATTTAATTCATAGATGGCTCTCATTTAAAACTTTTTGACAACTAAAAATTGCAGATTTCTTTAAATTTCTAAGAAAATGAATTCAAAAGTTTAACTATTTAACGATAGATATCACTAATAACGTTTTCTTTTTATAGAAAACTGTAAATAATTAGTTCAAATACTAAACCCGTGATGGCGCCACACACATATGGTAAAAAAGAAATCTACAATTATTTAGTTCTCCAATTTTCTATAAGGTAGCGCCATAAACGTTTCGAAGATAGTTCCAAGAACTCTCGCTAAATAAAGGTGGCGCTGTAATCAATCAAGCGCGCCAAAGGAAAAATTTGAAAAGAGAGAACGACTTTCAAGAAGTAAATGTAAGATTTTCTTATTTCTTCACAGAATACTCAAGCACAGTAGCATGAAATATCAAACATACCTGTTGATGAAGTCGTTGTACACTTCTTGTTATTGATGTATCATTGGTAAGTCAAGCCTAATGAATAAATAAATCAGTATAAATAAAATTGAATTCAAAACAGTGAAATACTTTACCTCGTTTCTTTTTACATTTATTATAATACGGTTATAATAAATATATCATTTCATTTCTTAAAAATATAAACGTTAACCATAGACAGCTGCATCGTCACTAAAAGAAAATAAATAATAGTAGTTCAAAAAATACACAGCACAACTTTTGGTGTTACAACAGTAAAATAAAACACTAATTCACCACAACACTGGACGTGAGTTTCGCTAACCAAGTTAGCATCATCAGTAGATGATTAAAACTCAATAAGTTTTAGTGCAAACATAGTTTTAATAATTTGCTGATGAACATAGTTAACAAAACACGCGTTCAGTGTAAAAGTAGTGCTTTGGTGAATTAGTTTTATTTTGCAACTGTAAGTTAAGAAAAACAGCTCTCAAATCTTTTATGTTCAAATTAATAAAATCAAAATATTGGTACCATACAATGGAAAAAAAACGGCGTTAGTGATGGCTATGAAATAAAGATCGCTGTCATTTTATGTGTAAATTTACGTGGGAAATGTCATCGATCATTATTTCCCAGCCAACTGAATGCCGTTTTTTGTTCGATCATATTTATTAACAATAACTCTGTTGCCAAAGCAGAATATATATACTAACTAAAAAAAGTTAAAAAATATAAGTTCACAAAACATCCACTGAATGTATCCAACCTAGGATCCACTCACAGTTAATACAAATAGTACTAAAGACTAGAAGGAAAATCATAACATCGAATATGGTTTTCAAATTATTTTTAATAGATTTGTCTTAGTTATAAAAAAAAACCACTTAAACGCCAACAGGAATTTGAGGTTGCTCAGGTTTTACAGGCTTAATTTCAGATGATGGGAAGTCTGGAATTTTCTCCTCCTTGGGTTCAACCACCGATACATTGTCAGGCAGAGGCTTCTTGGGGCCCATTTTACCAGTAGGATCATATGGTAACATAATTTTAACCTGAAGAAAAACAAAATAATCTGTGAAGCTATAATTAATTTCAATATAATTTACACAGGGTCTTGCAAGAGTACTTTGCGCATCTGTAGGTTCTTTGAAAAAGAATTTAGGTATTTTGTTAAAGAACACCTAAAGTATGCACTAGGACATATTTCAGAAAATTATTTTAACTTCTGCAAGGTGATCCAAAAAGGTTTGAGTAGATCGTGATGATTTTTTAAATGAAACACCCTGTAAATATTTAATTTTTGGCTTCCTTCTTAATCACTTTACATAGTTCTAAGATATTAAAAATATAAGATGAGTCTTATAAATTAAAACTATGCTAGGTACTTACTATAGTTGATCTCTACTTACTTTATTACAAATATCGTTGTATAATTCAAAATTTCAATGCCAAACCTTCTAAAATATAAAATTTTTCTTCCTTGTTTAGTAATTTTGTTAGATGGAGAATTAAAAAATCATTAGGTGGCATAAATTAAAAAAGTACTGTTAAAAATATTATGTAATATAATACCGCAAACATCTACAAAATCCTGAGAAATGTTGAAATACTTTAAAAACAACAAATGTTATTTTTTTTACTTCTCCATCTAACAAAAAAATAACATACAGGGCATTACATCTAAAAAATGAAGAAAAATTACTTTATACATTAGAAAGTTTGATTTTTGGAACATGATGACCCAAGATTGTGATATTTATAGGAAAGTCAGTACAGACCAACTATAGTAATTACCTAGTATAGTTTTGATTTCATTTTATCATTGATTTTTCTTGTTGAGAATTTGATTAACATTTCTTGTATTTTTATTTTTTTTTAAAAAGTCTGATAAAAGTATTATTTATTTATTAATATATTTGAAACTAGCAAAAGATATTTAATAATATCTTGGGATTAAGTATAATGAACCGAAAAAGCCAAAAATGCAATAATATAGTGTTTTCTATTTAAACAAAAAATCATCCCAATCCACTCACACTTTTTTGACCTATCCTGTAGAAGTTAAAACATTTTCCTAAAATACATACTTTAGGTTCGTATTTCCAAGTTTTTTATTCTAGGAGCTACAGATGCCTGTCACACTATTGCAGGACGCTGTATATAAGTTAAAACTTATACAACCACTACAATTTAGTTTTATTATAAAACTAAAACCAGAAAGTTATTGCATTATATCTGGTAATTTCAGCTCTCTGCACTGAATTAAGTTCAAAACTAACACTAGATACAGAACTACTCTAATCACATTTGTGATCTTTAAAACAAGACATCAAAATTGTTGGTTTAAGAGATTTACAATACAAACCTTAATTCCTAAAACACCTTGTCTAAGTAAGACGTGTCGGGTAGCTGTATCTACATAATCATTGCATGGATCTCCGGAATGAATCATAAGTCCATCAACAAACTTCATAGACTTGGCACGCTGTCCTCTCAATTTGCCGGATACAACTACTTCACATCCTACAATAAGCAAACAAAACATTACATAGTCTCTAAAATAATAATAAACATTTACCTTTAGCGCCACATTCCATAATGTACCTAAGTACACCATAACATGCTCTTCGTACAGCCAAACCTCCGATAAGCTTGAACCTCAAAGACTCGGCCTGGGCAATAGCACACAAACCCCTGTTGGCTACTTTTTCTCCGTACAAAACTACGGAATTTTCGGGGAAATTGAATCTCTTCTGTACGACGGAAGTCAGTTCCCTGATACGCCTGTTTTTCTCACCCAGAACACGGTCTGTTCGGGTGGCCATAATGATAATTTCGGTACGGGTTGGGGTGACACGTACCTCGACACCGGAGTATCCATCTTCGGACAATTCTCTGGTGAGGAACTCGTTGAGTTCGGCTTTGAAAACGCCGTCTCCGACAAATTTTCGCTTTTTAGAAATTGTGGTTGCCATTTTTGTGAACTGACGGGAACGGAAAGAAAGAACACGCGGTTTTCGCCAACTGTCATACGTCAAAACATTGGTAGCACTGTTTGTCAACTGTCAATCTGTCAATGTCACTTAAGTTTATCGAAATACTAAATACTGAAATCTGTAACAGATTAGTTATGCAACTAGTAAAACGTTTAGGTATTAATCATTTAATCTCGTTTAAAATGTTTTTGTTCATTAAGTCGCCGAAAAAACAAGAAATCGATAGTTAGCTGTTAAAAATCGAGGTATATTGTGTTGTCGTTATTTTGTAATTATTATATTATTTGTCATGATGTGTAATTTTATCACTTACTAAATTTTTATTAATCTATTTTTAAACAACTCTTTAACAAACCTTAATCCATTTGGATAGTATATTACATTTTGTCATTTTGTAATATATTTTTTATATATCTTTTCTCAGTATCTATAATTTAGATTTATTTAATACATATTTAAATATATAAATAAATATAAAAACATCTTAATATTTTTAGTATAACTTTTATTTTTACATAAAAAAAATAAATACAATAATAATAATAATAGAATAGTAAGGTAAGTAATTGCTAAAAAATATACAGTAAAATATTAGCTTAAATAATGTGTTTCACAATTTATAGACCTAGATATAGTCCTCATTTATTTTTTTTATCATGATTAGTACAAACATTCTATACCTAATTGAAATTTAAATTGAAGATAATCTATAAAGGAAATCTTTTTTTATATATTAATATTTTATCAATACAAAATACGTTTTTATTTTCTATAATTTTACAAAATGTTTTTTTCGCAAAAATCAAACTAAAAATATGATTAATATTTTTAGTTTACCGCATTAGTAAAGAGATTCAGTTATTATAGTTTAAGTTTTCTTTTATCTACAACTAGATTCTTAAATTTTATGTTATTTTAGTTTCAACATTTTCCACGGTATATTTAAACTACTTTCCCATACGTCTTACACAGTACATTAATCCATCTTCATATTTTGTTTATTCAGGTACATATCTATCCGAACCAAGCATTTTTTACGTATTGAACCAGAATATCAATCTAATATATACACAAAATCTTATGTATGTAATCATATTTACAAAAAAAAATCGTTTAAATCTGACTTTCTGGTGTCTACTTTTCCAATGATCATCATCAATCCCAAAACAGAAATATAAGCGGCAGTTTATGCAACCCATCATACAATTTCCCAAGCGGGCCTTAAACAATACTGCGACATAACCTCTCGAGGCGTACGAATTATTTTTAAAAAGCGCTATTAGTCATATTTAATAAAAGTTAATAATTTACTTCATATAATAAGTTATATAAATAGACCTGTTTCTATATTCCTTTATACATATTTTTTTAATAATTTACACTTCATCAGTAAAATGCTTTTACATTTGTGGGATATTTTTTTAAAAACATTTCTCAGATTGTAATTTTGGCGTTTAACAAGAACTTTAGCTCACAATCAGTTGCGAATGTCACTGTCAAAAACTTCAGTGACAAAATATAGTCAAGCACGAAATGAAATAATATTTCTACGCCTACCCTGACGACGTTTTTTTATCATAACATTCAATTTTACAGAAATTAAATTTCAAAATGCGAAATTTCAGATTGCATCTAGATATTTTTGTATAATTGTAATTTTTGAACAATTCTGTTATAGCCAAACCAAACTACACGATCAGAAAAAAAAACGGCGTCAGAGGTGGCTTGGAAATGAAGATCGTCGACATTTTATATGTAAAATGATGTGGCGAATGTCATCGATCGTCATTTCCAAGCCAACTTGATCAACAATCCCTAACTAATATGTAAAGAATTATTTTGCAATTTAAAAAGAAACGGTGTTACAGCAGCCTTTGAAATTACGTATGATGATCACTTATTGTCGACTCGACCCGTAGGCGTTATTTTTAGAATAGAAGTATTTATTTAGAATATAGAAACATGCATTAGTTAAAAAATAAATCCTTATGGTTGTTAATTAATTTAAACTATTACTTTTTATAATTATTCCAACAAACTCCAAAACATCCTATTTCTGCACATTATTCTATGCATTTGATCGAAAAAATGATCAAATTTTATGTTTGTTTATATAAATGACATAAAAATAGATAATATTGTAAACAGACTAGCTTTGATTTATATTAGTTTTTTTTCGAATTTATATAAAAAAAACATTCACAATAAACCCACCCAAAAATATATGAAAAACTAACGAAGAAACTTAAGACTAGGGCTAACAAATTAGTGTGATGAACCAAAAACAAATTACCATTAACTTGGTAATAACTAGAAAAAGCTACCTTCATTATTATCTAGTGTTCCACAAGATACAAAACACTTTTTCTTTAAATCTAGCTATATAGGTCAGTGTTGCTACCTACAACACACTATAACTTACTAGATGTTACGATCTGGAGAACACTAAAGAAATTTTTTACAAAAAAACTATTTAAGTACTCACAAACTGTAAAAATATATAATATAATTGCACAAAAGTATAATATAAGGTGTATATTTTCAGTAAGACACTGTACAAAAAAATGTAAACTTGTAATAGATCGAAAACATCAAAAATATTTACAACAAAATTGCGATTTTTACAATAATTGTTACAAGGAATAATATAATACACAAAAACGGAAAAAATATGACACAACTTGATGTGATGCTTTCAAATACTAATATCAACTATTTTTTGAAAAATTTTAATTTCTTAAAATCCCTTGTAAAGTATTGATTGATCGAAAAAAAAACGTCATAGTGACCTTTGAAATGAAAACCATTTACATAAAAATATATTTCGAAAACAGAATTATATCTGTAAATTTCATATTTATTTAATAAATTTTAAATACTAATTTTTTACTTCAAACACCACAGTGACGTCGTTTTTTTCGATCATACTGTATTTTTGACAGACTGTAATGCTATTTATACGCCTACTTTGACATCAATTTCATCGAATATCAATACTGGGCAAGTATTTTAAGAAATTACGTAAAATATATTATTTTCAATAATTTTTACATCCCGTTCAAAAAAAAAACAACAAAAATAAGCAGTTTAAGTAACAAACCTTATCTTAAAAGGAACTATGTCGTTAGAAAATGGCTGCCCTAATCAGACTAAATATACAGGGTGTTTCGTTCAGTAAAGAATCGATAGAGACCGAAAAATGTTTTCCAATTACCTATTTACAATTAGAAATTTTATTTATTACAATTTAGGCAAAAAAAAACAAATAGAAGATCACAGAGTTAGTGTAACCGAAAAAAGGCGTCAAGTAGCTTTTGAAATCACCATACATTTAATAAAAATTAGAAAAATGCTCCCAGACACAAATTTACTTTCAAAAAATATATTTTGGCGAAAATCTGGAAACTTTTTACTTTTATTTTTATTTAAATATTAATTTTTGACACTTTATGTGTAATTTTAGTTAAAAAACTACGCACAAAGATCGTACTGACGGAATTTATTAAGGATTTTAATTTGAAAGGCTACTTTGACGCCGCTTTTTTCTCAAATGGTAAACTTTACCGAAAAAACACCCACGTTATCGAAAAAATGGAACAAACATAACCACAAAAAGAGAAAAAATATATAGAACCAACATATATCGCTATAAACCATATAAATCTATATAAACTATAGTTAAACCAGTATATAACGCACCCAAAAATTTACTTTACACACTAATTATTATGAAATGGAGTTGCCGTAAAGATTGAGCTAATATAGTATATTAAATTACCTCTTAATATTTGGTCAGAAAACCCTTAACAACTATTTCAACAAGCCCTTCCAAATATTAAGAGTTCCTAAACTACGTATGTATGTAAAAAAAATTGGCGATTTGAAAATCACACCACTCATTGTTTTAACAATATTAATAATTACCAACTATAATTGTTTAAAAAAATATTTCAAGTTAGGCGGTTAAAAAACTCTTAAACACTAATTTATAAAAAAAACTATCGTAAGAGATTATTATTTTTCATTTAATCAACGTTACTTTGAATTAATTTTACTTTTTAATGGAACAATAGTATCGATAAGCCAAAAAACACGTTATTTTTGATCACACGGTATGATCACAAAAAATATTAACTAAATAATAAAAATGTGAGAAGTGATGAACACGGGTAAAATATTTAAAATATAATTAAATTAGAATGTAAGTGCAATTCTTTGAAGCGTATATTTCTTTAAATTATTGAAAAACTGACTATTTTTACATTGCAAATCCTCCCTGCCGTGCAAAAATTCTGTTCACTCTGATTCTATGCCTACTGTGATGTATTTTTTTTCATTTCGTCACATGATATAAACTCTAACGCATTAGGTTTAGCATTGTGATAAACAGATATACCAGGCGCGTCAAAGTCGACGGTAGATTAGACGCTTGTAGATATCAAAAAGTAGTAGTGCCTTTGTTATTTTAAACGGAACACACGGTATATTTTTTCACTTATGAAGACTACCGTATGATCGATCGAAAAAAAAAACGGCGTCCAGTTGGCTGAGATATGACGGTCGATGACATTTCCCATATAAATTACATATAAAAAATGACAGCGAACTTCATTTCGTAGTCATAGGTGACGCCGTTTTTTTCCGATCATACGGTATTATTCTTTGACGATTTTTTTATTATATTTTCTTCTATCTATTTCTATTAGTTTTCGAGAAAAAAAATTAAACATGTATAATATTGACAAAAAAAAACATAAAAAATTGAGAAAATCATATTTTTGTCAAAAAAAAAAGTTTTAATTTCTATCTCAAAAACTATTAGAAATAGGTACAGAAAAGCATAAGAGAAAATAAGATACAGGGTGTTAACATTCAAAATAACAAAGAAAAATGTGTTAATGTCAAATAAATTAAAATAAAATTGATATATACAGAGAGGAATAACTATTTGCCATGTAAACATAGTCAGTTATTATTGTTAAGAGAGCAAAATCTAGCTGCCTCTGTTTAATAAATATATAATAGAAAAAAAAACAATGTGAATTAAATTTTTACTCAAAACCTGACATTTTTATTGACATAAAAATTAAAAATATCAGAACTCGTACAAAGCGTTTAATTTTTTACTTTTGATTATAACTAGTTAGTCACTGTGTATTATTTATTATATTCATCAGATCAAACAACATTAGATATCAAATAGTACAGAAAATATATACAAGGTCATTTAGAACTAATAGCATTTATTAAAATACAGAGGGCCATGAATGAAATAGAAACAATATAGAATACATTTTTACTGACAATATCAACAAAATGTATAAAACAACCCTGCTATATGCGATTACACTGAAATAAACTTTTTATTTATATTTTTCAATATCTCTTAAAAATATATCAGTATTTCTGTTTTAAAATTTGACATATTTCGCTGAAGTTTTGTTGATGTAAAATAATAACTGTTTTATATTTTAAATTTTAACTCTATGGTTTTATATTTGTAATTAATTCGTTTTTGTCTCGTATAATATTTTGATTAAAAGAAAATATGTTAAAGTCCGGCAACGCTGTGTCGGTCAAGCTTAATTACGTGAACCAAAAGTTTATTTGGTATGATCTATATTTAATATTGATGTTCTAGAAAAAATCCAATTATAATTAGATGTGAAATAACAAATATTTCGGAGTAAAATGTACTTTTAAGTTATAATCAAAAGTTTGAAAATTGAAACACTTTGAACGAATTTTTTTCCTCAAAACACTAGAAAATCACAAAAATCCGTTTTTTTCATCTTGGTCTCTGTCGTTGCCTTATACCCAACGTTCATTTATAAAACCCCTAAAAAGTGGCTTTAATTTTCCATACAAGGTGTCAAAAAAATAAAAAAAAACTTTTTTAGGCACCCTGTACTCAACCCAACAATAGTATGTGCGCAGCACAAAGCGAGACAAATATCTTTTATATCAGAACGCCTTCTCTTTCTAAATCTAACTAATTTACATCTTCATCTTTGTTAAAAAAAAAGGTAATAAACGGTAAAAAAATATACATCACGTGTTCGCACTCAATATCTGTCGTTTTCCGTTGTTGACAGATCCGTCGTCGTCGTCGTTATTGACAGTTTTGACAGGACGCAATTGACGGCCGCGTCCGGGCTGTCAAAAACGGGCACGTGACGTCGCTCGGCCACGTCCCTGAGGTAGGCCCTGGCGCGGTTGTAGTCCTTGATGGCGTTCTTGGTGAGCTGCAAAGAAAAGGGTGCGTTAAAGTTTAATTTTCATGCGTTATCCGTTGATACGAAGGTCCAACGGCGCTCTGATTGGTCATAGCGGTTTCGCGCCACTTTTCATTCACTTCGTAATTTTTTACTCTACTAGTTTTGACACTTTTTTGACAAATGTAATCTAACCGTAAGTAAACCGTAAGAGCTAGCAACGTCGGGAAAACGAGAATTTTAATACAGCTGGTCCTTTAATATATTTTTTGCTATGTTCTCCTATGTTCTTCAAATTAATCTTTTATGACCTGTCTTAAAAATGGAGAGTTATACATTTTCCGAAATATAGCGACACAAAATGGGGTCTTACCGGTTCATCGGCCACCATGCAGCCCTCGCAGTTCAACTGTTCTATACTGAGGACGACGTCTTTGCCACTGCCGATATAGTGCGCTGCCACTATCATAGTCGTCAGCGACCTGGTGTCATTTGGAATGACAAAAAGAACGATTTTGCTGCGGTCGATCTTGTGCCTCCATTCCGTGTCCTCCTCCGTGTTGTCCCGATGTGATGTATCGTTTTTGCTCTCTCCATTTTCGTGATCCCTGTAACAACAAAAAATTGTATATTGTTTTATTAGGAGTAAAAATGACACTTTTTGTGTCGAGGTTGTACGTTTGACAGAGGAGCATTAGCGAGTATCTAACAAGTCTAACTATAAAGCTTCATTCATACCCTCCAAATTAGTGGAATAAGTTTAGTCCTCTAAATTATGGAGTGTAGAGATGAGGAGAAATATCTCTTATGGGACTTTATTTGAAAAAGTGATCACAAAAATGGGAAGAATAAGGGTTCACCAAATACGCTAATAACGCATAAATCTAAAAACTGAAAAGTTAACCATAGATAAGAAAATAAAATAAAAATAACCAAACATTACCCAAAAAAGCTTTGTTTTTATTTTTTAGAATATAAAACAATTATTTTTATATTATATTAGAGGCACAGTCTATTGCTGCTGAATAAAAATCAATAATTTATTTCATGTGACATGAAAATAAAATTTGTATTTTTTTGAAACCCGCGCCTTCACGTCAAATATTTATCTTTTTTGAATCATTTCCTGTTCTAAGAATTTTCGGCGTATATTTTAATTTTATTTTAAATAATTTTAGTTTTTTGCTACAGTAGCGCAATTTTAAGTCTTTCCATTTTTATGACCCTTTGCAATGCACAAAGATATTTCTTCTTACCTCTACCACAAATTACCTATAACAAATGCGAAAGAAAGCGACTGCATCGGAAACCGCTCGACAAACCCGACACGCCTATTGAGTGGTGTAAATACACCAGTCGTTTAGTCCGGAAACCTATGCTGTGTCGTATTCGCTTGCTGGAATGACATAGTGCGTGGTTATATGTTTCTTTTTAAAAACGCGTGTAGGATTTTTGTTGAACTTTTGAACTGTTATTTCTCTCTTTCAAGTTTTGGTAATTTGTATATCTTATTTAAAATGGGATGCAAATGTGTTTATTTATAAGGAGCAAAAAGATATTTATAGTATAAAAAATTAATTTATTTAACAAAATTTAATTAAAAATGTGACAAAATAGTTACCTTTCTATTGGTTCTATCGGACTTTTTTCGACTATATAAATCTTTATTTGTAAACTTTAATACATCAAATATTTTCAATCTAATAAATCATTTAATGATGTAAATAAGAGGAAATTTCTCACATGGGTGGTCAAATTTTATAGTTTTCATTATATCAAACAGCCTCTGAGAAATGTTTTCAACTCAAAATGCCTTTAATTATGTTTGACTACATCATTAAAAAGGGTCTTCAAATACATCAATGTGATATTTGTCTAAAATTTGCAAAAGAATCCGAATCTCTGGATAACTCGAAATTATTTACCCATTTAAAAGCCTTTGATCATGAAAGTGGAAAAATTTGTTCATTTTATTTACAGGCTGGAAAAATTATTTATATTAAATTTTGATGAGTTTTGCACTGAAGAAAACATTCAGAGGCTGTTTGATATAATGAAAACTATAGAATTTGACCACCCATGTGAGAAATTTCCTCTTATTTACATCATTAAATTATTTATTAGATTGAAAATATTTTATGCATTAAAGTTTACAAAAAATAAAGATTTATATAGTCGAAAAAACTCCGATAGAACCAATAGAAATGTAACTATTTTGTCACATCTTCGTTTGGGTTATTGTTTAATGCAAGAGGGAGGCACTTTTGAACAATTTTTGTAATTTTTTAAATTTCATTATCCTGTTTTTTTACCGTTTACCCATTACCTACCTTGACGAACATGGGAAAACGAAGGTCCTTTTCAGGACCACAAATATTTTGATTGAGAAAATTGGTAACTTTTTTTTGGATTAAAAAACAAAAGTTGTTAATATAATACCAATTTATTGCGTAGGTTTTCTTGCAGTGGTGAAATACCCATATAGGACCATTTTGGAGAGTTATTCTATTAATTTTAATTGTATTTTTTAGACATTGTGAATGGCAGTAAATTTTTAAGTATAAAGTATAATTGCAAACACTAATTTTTTCTACTAATTTAGAGGTTCTAAATGAAGCTTAAGGATTACTATACAAGACAAAGAAAATAAGAAATTCGGTGGTAAAAGGTATTATATTTTAATAAGGCTCCTACTACAAAATGAAAAAAGAAAAAATGTTATCAACTTTGTAAAAACATTTAATTGACTACAAAATTTTTAAATCCCGTTAAAAAATGTTCAGTCGTAAAATTTAATAGAATTCAGTGACGTGATCGACCAAAGTGACGTCAACAAATATCAGTAACAGCTCATTAACAAACTCGTTTCAAATCAATGGAGCATCAACAAAATACTTCACACATAACTTTCTAATTTTAAAAATATACGACCGATCCGTTAATTTATAAAAAAAAAGGTTTGTATGATATTAATTCACGACTGGAAAGCAGCATGAAGCGATTCAAAATGGATTAACTGAGCTGTTTTTTACTTTCTTCGATAGAAAATGACACTCTGAATAGAATGACATATCATATGTCAACTTTTGACATTTTCGCATAATATGGTTTGGTTTGAAGTTGTAACATGAGGTTCATAACGACAATTTCACCTGACATACCAAGTGTGTGGTACCAAATTATTCGTAGAAAAATGCTTTTTACAAATATGCTAATGAGCTATCCTTGTTTGATTTGAAAAAATTAAGATATGATTAAAAATACGTTTTGGCCGTCTATTAATTGACCAGGATAACACACGCAAAACATTAAACGATCAAATCTATTTTTCCAAGGCTCCTTGATTAAAATGTAATGTTTTTAACATTGCCATGGTACTCTAGATTGAAATTTAAAATGCGATTTTTTTATAGCGAGACTGTAAAAAGTTGATATATGATATATCATTCTATTCAGAGTGTCAATTTCTATCAAATAAAGTAAAAATATACCGAGGGTGCTATTTGAAAATAAAAAGTTGAAGTCATTTCCGGTGAAACAGGAAGTGACCAAAAACAATTGAATACTTCAATCAATTTTAATTTATGTCATATACTACCATACCAAATCTTTGAGAAGCACCCGGTATTTTTTATCAGATGTAACTTTTTTCTAAAATGGCATATAAAAAATATCTTTGCAGTTCCATTACCTACCTGATTGCCGGATTGTAGTACTCCACTCCGTGCTTCTTCAACAAAGGCTCCGCGATGTTTTCCCGCCATTTGTTTCCAGTTGACAGGCTGCCACCCAAGTAGACGTCGTAGAAGCGCTCCCTATTGGCGAAACTCTGGACGGAGGCTTGCGATTGGTCCACCGCGCACCTTGATCGCTTTTCGTTGGGGCACTGACCGTGCTGGTGGTTGTTTCGCGAAAAACTCTGCGTTGCCCATGCTGAAAGACCAGAAAACAATCAACTCAATTGAAAAATTTAAATTCAATATACAATGTTTAAATAAAGTGCAAAAAAATCACAAGGCGAGACTGCTTGTAAAAAATAAATAAGGGTTTCTTATATAAAATTCGTAATTTGGTATTCCTTTAAATGTTATACCGCACGATCTAAAAAAAAGGCGTCAAAGACGGCTGAGGAATGGCAATCAATAATAATTTTGGCGAGGTCAATCTCTAGATGTCATTTACTAAAAACTCTGACATAAAACTTGTCAAAAATTATCACTAATTATAGAAAGAATAAAAATGGATAGAACGTTTCTAGACAAACAAATCTATTTCCAAAAAAATATTATTTCTTGAATTTTAAACTAAACAATTTAAAAATCATTTTTATTGAATATAATAGCACAGATTAGGTATCCTATAAGTATACAGATAAAAATCTTGTCCCTAATTCGTGGTACGAAAATTATTTTTTATGACGATGTGCAAACGAGTTAAATTTCCTGTGCGCAAAAATAAACTCGCGTAAAATAACAATAAACAGCGTAATAGAGAGATATCGCTAAACCGAATAGCGTGCATGGACGTTAATAAGGCCAGGTATTATTTCCTTTACGTGAGGTGGTATTAACTCTCTTCATTTATAGTTATCGGATCGGAAAGAATTCTGTTCGCGTCGCGTCCGCTATTTAAACTTAACCAAACTTTGAATTTAAAACTTTGAAATTGTTTTGTTTACTAGGTATTTTAAAACTAAAGGGCTAAAGTGCTTATTTCCAGTGCTTTATTGTTCAACGTCTGCCAGTGGGTTTAGGGCAACAAGCAACAAATTCTCTTAGAAGGGCTAAGGCGTCATTTGCTGTAAACCTAAGCCTCTTTATAGGTTCTTTAATATTGGAAGAGTTGGAATCCATATTTTGGGCCATATTTATTTAATTAAAACTAATCTCAGGTACTTAAATATCAAATTACCTAATAAAACTAAAGTAATAATTCAAAACAATTCAAACATAACCTAAAATAAAAGACCCCGGTTGTCAAATACCCGCACATGTCAATTTAAGCAATTTTTAAACGTTATTTAGAAATAGCGCTTGGTGTAATTGATCCGCAAATTACGTCAGGCGGTAACGTTATTAGCGGGTTTTGCGTTGAAAATTGACTCGCGCATATCTATAACCATGATAAGGTACGCGTAAATACTGCATGACGCTATTCGGTTTTTCGATATCTCTCTAATAACCGTGCTGGTCAGGCGCTGTGCACAATTTTACAGGCCATAAGTGGGCGTGCTATGTGCGCAAACTAGTAACCTAACTAGTGCCCGATTCCGAAAATTGGAACCACGAAAAACAATAAAGAAAAAACAAAGTTTATAATCTGTATAATCTGTGATAATAGTAATTTTTTATACAAGACGATACAATAGCATTTATGCAATTTTATCGTCGTGTATAAAACAATACTTTTTTCCGTAGCGAGTTACCTTTTAAAAAATATTGTGCTGGGTTGGCGTTGGTTTCTATGTAATTTGACAAATAAATAAAGCTGTCTCTTTAGTTGTCAGTTTTGAGTCAATATTTTTTAATTCTTTTTCATGTCAATTGCTGATTGAATTGGAGCCAGAAATGGCTCAAAACGAAATAAGTAAATTGCCAACAGATATTCAGGCTGAGGCGACAAACGCCATATCCAAACTACTTCCATTTAAATCCCGAATAACTTGAGAGAAAAGGAATACAACAATTTTAAAAAATGGAAGAAGAAATAAAGTTTTTAACCTATCCTCGCTGTTAAAGTACTATTTTATCTACTATTTTTGATAGATATAAATAAGGCAATTTTAACAGTTGCTATGGAAAAAAAATAAATTATAACCTTCTTAAAGCCAAGCCACCTTAAAAATCCAGAAGTCGGAGCAAGTATAGACGTCTAGGGCTTGATCTCGCCAAAATAATAATCGATTGTCATTCTCCAGCATTCTTTGACGCCGTTTTTTTTCTCTCGATCGCATGGTAGTTACATTGTGTGCGAATTAATGACACAAAAATGTAAAAAATAAAATAAAAACAAATAAATGGAAAAATCTATTAAAAAGTGTTACAAACAAAGCTTAATATCAAACATGATGATATACGTGAGAACAAAAAAAATTATGATAAATCAGAATGAAACCAAGAAAATAAAAGTTAGCTTAAAACAAAAACATCTAACTATTTTACTAATAAAGCAAAATAAGTCTAAGATGAGAAAAATTAGCGAGTATGTTTTAATATGTTGTACCTAGAGCGCTGGATATTGGTTGTAACACCATGTTTCTAACCATATATCTTGTTTTTAAGAGTGCGCACGACCAATAGAGCGGTCTTATGTAATCCCTTCCTAGAACAACGGTTTTAAGATCTTTACACCTTGTTAATAACTGAATAAATTATATTTCAAAATGTTATAGAAGAGACATAAGAATAATCCGCGGTTAAGTCGTCAAATCTAACATATTTCAAAATGAGACAACTTTTAATTTAAAATGGCGTTCGCAGGTTTAAGACCAGGAAATACAACTACATTAGGAATGTAGCTGAGTGTAATGGATAGATATTCTCCTTCACTAGTTGATAAATTAATTAGAAAACGTAGGTATAGGTTAATGTTTTCTGAAAATTTGACTTTTCAAGTGGAGAAAGATACGTCTAAATCTTTTTCGATACCGTTTGATAGAGAGTTATCCCGTGATCTAAAAGGAATTTTTAAGAATGTCAATTATAAACTTGTGTATAGTGCTAATAATAAATTACAACAATTATTAGGTAATCCAAAGGATAAAACACCTCCTTGTGATTGTAATCAGAAATATGTTGGGCAAACTAGAAGATCAATATTAACTAGATTTAAAGAACATTTAGCTCAGATAAGATTTGGTAGACCGGTTAATCTTGCGTTGCCGAACATATTGTTGATAAAGAACATTGTATAGATCTTAATAATTTAAAATTAATTAAACAAGTCTCAAATTACAGGCAATTAGATGCATATAAAAGCATCAGAATTAATAAATGTAAAGATAGTATGAACAGAGACAACGGTCCAATTCCTTCAAGTTCTTTGTTCCTACTACTCTCTGTGGCGGAAATCTAACTGTTACGCTCAATGGGCTCTGACTCGGTTGGCTAGATTTTGCCACGCCCACTCGGTGCCCACTGAGCGAGTATATAAACGCTCAACTTGTAGATTGTACTTTAGTTTATAATCATCTGCTGATGATGCTAAGATGGTTAGCGAAACGCGAGTCCAGTGTAAAAGTAAAAGTGTTTTGGTGTATTGTGGTGATTTAGTGTTTTATTTTGCTGTGTAACACCAAAGGTTCCAACCCTCAACTGTAATTTAAAATTACTACCACTAATATTGACGTTCTGAATGCCTACATTGAAATTAAAGGATCAAACTTCGACACTAATCAAAACCACTAATTTATTTCACTAATTTCAAGGTTCTCAATGAAGCTAGAAAGAAAAAATCCTACCTTCAATGTTACACATGCTGCAACCATCCGTACTCAATTCCGCCATCAAGGCGCAAAATTTCTCAAAACTTAATGTACCGTTCGTCTCGCCATTGGGCCTGGAATTCACTCCGTTTTCCGTACTGTTTTGAAGGTTGAGGTAGTTGTACAGCTTGGATATTTCCAACGACCGATTGGTCAGCTTCGAATACGCGTCTATGATGTCGTACAGTTGCATTTGGCCATTGTAACTGTCATAAACTTCTCTAAGCCGCCTAGAAAACGCACATTTTAAATTATTTATCTTTATCTGCAGGAGCTACAGATGCCCTGCACACTATTGCCACACCCTGTATAGTAAAGTCTCTGATTCTGTTACTACTCACCTTATTTTATGAACTATTTGCTCTTCAGGACTACTCCCACTAACCGACACATTCCTTAAAATATCCGCCGTGCATTGTAAGGCTGTTGTAAGATTATTGTGAATTTGTACTCCTTTCGATTTTATTAGATCTAATAATGACTTTTGACCCTTCACTAAATCACAGTATTCCCTAAAATTGTTTGATATTTCTCAAATATACACCCGAATTATAATTAGGAAATAATAACATACCTATCAGTAATTGTTTCCCCCATAATAGTTTGTCCTTTCTTATACGGTTGAGCTACTACAATAACACACCGACCAGAGGCTACTAAATATGCTACTTCTAACATTCCTACAGTGCTTCTTGTTTGACTATCAATAACAAAAAGTAAAACTGATGCAGACTGTTTGGCATCATGTTCTTGTGCTAGTAATTCTGGAGCCCACATCGACACTTGCTGAAAACAATTTAAGTAAATATTGTTCCTCCAAAGAAAAACCTTTAACTTACTGGATTGTAGAAACTAATACCGTGTTTCTCTAACTCTGGTATTGCAGTATCCGCTCTCCACGTAGTTGGATTACATGATCCTCCCAGAAAAACTTCACACTTATTTTTAGGACATTCTTGAATAAAAAAAGGATTAAAAATGATAGTGCTCTTTTCACTATTTCTGGTGATTACTTACTGTTATTGTTTACTTTCTGTTGTTGCATAAACTTTTTGTGTAATTTTGGCTTGTTCTGCATCTCCCTAACCAGGAAGCAGAACTCGCCAAAAGTGAGGTAGGTAGTGTTGGAGCCATTCCTGCACTGCCTTACGCACTGTAGCATTGTTGTTACTGAAAAACCAAAATAAAACTGTGAAAATTACAATAAAAATCAAAACATTCCATTACAGATAGATATGAGTCATAAATATACTAAACTTTCCCATTTATTCCCATTAATTATGTAAAGTCTTATTCAAATCGTGTAATTAGTACTTAATTACTTTGTTCCATAGGAAATAAATGAAGACCTATCAAAGAGTTTATCACCAAATCACTTACCAATTTTAATAAAAAGATAGATTACTAGAACATTTAATTACTTCGTACCTTATTTAAAACTTCCAAAACAATAATTTTCCATAAAGAAATAAAGATTTAATCCATTTTAGGTTTATTTTTGGTCTTTGATAGTGTTCCTTTGTTGACATTTTTTGTGAGGTTAGACCTTGTGTTTATATTTTTTTGACGTATAAAGTTATTTTTCTGTTTAAAATAATTATTTCGTAGTAGAATTTCTATTTCATGCCCAATTTTAAAAATTACCATGCAATATATAATGGGCTTATTAAATATTTATTTTGTGGGCGCTAATTTTTTAAATTCCGGAGTAGTATTGCTGGTTGCCTACCGTTTTCTGTCAACAATAGTTTTTTTATAAATAATTAAAAAAAATATAAATGAAATTAAAATAAAATCACTAATCAGATAATCTTTGATTAAGAAAGCCCATTAATGCTAAAAGCTTTTTAAAATATAATATAATAAGGGATTATATATATTTTTTCGTTTATATTTACTGCTTTTGTGTACTACTGGTTGCGGGATTCAAGTGTTTATGAATCAATTTGGCGCCTGCCACATGTTTATTCAAAAACACGCGTTGGGTAATTAAATGCGCGTTGTAATTTTTGAAATAAATTGTTCAAACATTTTTGGAAATAAATCGTAATTAGCCTTAAACTATGCGTTTAAAAATAGTTATAGCTGGGCGCTTAGTGCTTTAAACAAATTAGTAACTTGGAGGAGAAGAAATAAATAATTTTATGTTGTTTTTTGTTTTGTAAACGGACAAAATCATACTTTTGGCATATGCTACGATAGCAAAGTGGGCGATAAATAGACTCACAAAATATTAGTAACCAAAAACATTTAAATTAATAATTCAAATTACCTTAAGCATTAGCACATTTTTGGAAAAGAGCGCAGTGGCAGAATAATCCGATTTTTTATTTTTTCTCAATTCTTGCACATTTTTTTATAATATATGGTTTATGCAGATTATTTTCTGATTCAATTTTAAACCTTGTTATCTTAGAGTATGTAATTAATTAAGGTATACAGACCGGACCACCGTAGTAGTAACATATAGGCAGAACCGGACGAATTAGCGTATACCCGTCCGCCGGATAAAAAGCAGGCGAGAAAATGCGATAAAATAAAAATGGGTAGATATGTGATAAGAATGTTACAGAATTTGTATTTATTCGTGTTTTAATAGCCAAAACGAATACATACATTCTCGCTACAGCTCTCGTGTAAAATTTATTTTTTAAGTAAAATAATGGATGTTTACGAAGTTCGTGAAAAAATTCAAAGTGTAAATTGTAAAATGGTATTTCCAAAATAGGTCTTATCGGGATATACAAACAATTTTTCCACAAACTTTTGTAAACAAGCCAATTCCATCTTTACCTACTATATCAAGAGTTATTAATAATTTTGAAACACATGGGTGGCGTGTCCCCACAAAAACACAAAAAGCCTGATGTGTTGAACAATGAAGAACAGGAGTTAAAGCAAGTGTTTGGGGTGGTTTTGTAGGGGAGCATATGATTGGTCCATTTTTTATAAAGGGTAACTTGTTAGAGCAGCAGATTCTCCCTAGAATTCGTGAGTTATTGGGAGAAAGATTCCACAATGTCTGGTTTCAACAAGATGGTTGCCCTGCCCATAATGCCCGTATTGTTCAAGAATATTGGAACAATACTTTTCCCAACCGTTTAATGAGTGGACATGGAACTATTTTGTGGCCCGCTAGACCACCAGATCTTTCTCCAAATGATTTCTTTTTGTAGGGTTATGTAAAATCCAAAGTGTATGGTCATAATAGGGCTAATAATCTGGATGAGCTTCAAGTAAAAATACGAGAGGCTTTCCAAACTATTAGCCCTAATATGTTAGCCAATGTCAGACGGGGATTTTACGACCGCCTAGGCTTCTGTCTAGCACAAGAAGGTGGTCTTTTTGAACACTTGTTATAACTTTTTTTATTTAGAGTAATATTTTAGTTTTTTTTTCGGGTTTAGAGAATTTATTTATTTTTAATTGGAGGAGAAGAAATAAATAATTTTATGTTGTTTTTGTTTTGTAAGCGGATAAAATTATATTCTTGGCAAATGCATGGATAGCAGAGTGGGCGATAAAAAGACTCACAAAATATTATTAACCAAAAACATTTAAATTAATAATTCAAATTACTTTACGCATAGCATATTTTTGGAAAATAAGCGCAGTGTCTGAATAATTATTTTTTAATTTTTTTCTCTTTTCTTGTACATTTTTTTATAATATGCTTTATGCTGATGGTTTTTTGATTCAATAAATCTTGTTATCTTAAAGCATGTAATTAATTTATTTAGGTATATAACTAAATTAATTATTTATTATATTTACATCCTACCTTCATTATCAGAGGGAAACAACTGCATGTCGTTGAACAAAGTCTTCACATGGTCTTTCGGTATGTTTTGTATATCTCCTAGCCTCAGACTTATAGCTTTATAGACCTCCCTGTAACAAAAAGAAAAAACGGTTTTATATTGACGTTATATTATGTAAAAATTAAAAAGTTATTTATAATAAACGAAATTTTGGTTTAACAAATTTTCATTCATCAACAGTATTTTAAGCATCACGTATCATAAGTCAAGCCTGTCGTCCAACAAGAGAAGACATGACAGTGACAGATGTTTCTCATATTTTAATTGACATGTAAATTGTATTTCTCTGCCTGTTGGAACAACCATTTAGAGTTTTTAACCTTTAAGCTTGTTTTTTAGAACTATATCAGAATCATATTGCGTTAATGAAGTGATTCACCCTATATACACACATTCTCTTTTATTTATTCATGTCACTGATAAAACCTTTAATTTTATCTACAAGTAGATAAAATTAACCGTTTGATATCAATATTATCATAAAAGAATTTTTTTATTAATACATCATTTTGATGGTTTTATTTAGTATGAAGAATGTTTAAGGAGTAAAAGTTTCATTCAGAACCTCGAAATTAGTGAAATAAATTACTGGTTTCAATTAGCGTAGAAGTTTGTTTCTTTAATTTCAATGTAAGCATTTTCAGAACGTCAAAATTAGTGGTAGACATTTTCAATTAGTAGAAAAAGTTATCAAACTTTTAACTTTTCCATTAGTAAGATTCATTCAGAACCTCGCAATTAGTGGAATAAATTGGTGGTTTCAATTACACTTTATACTTTTTAGTTTACGATCATTCACAATGTTTTGAAGAACACAATTAAAATTAATAGAATATCTTAGCAACAGCTTGCGTTATTCAGTTGTATCCATAGAAAAAGCCTAATATTTATCTTATAAAACAAGAAACCCCCCCTTTTGATTTTTAACCACAATCTACACACACCGGAAAAATCTAGGGATATCATTTTACTAAAGTTAAAAATAAATGTTTTTTTTTTAAAAACAACCACATATTTGTAGGCCGATTCTTCCTACTTCGATTGAAACAAAGTAGTCACACTAGTTATTTCTAAATTTGGGATATTTGCAGAAGTGTTTGTGCTTTTTTTGTCAAATGTATAAAAAGCACCTAGCATCAATTGTTCGAATTTAACCTGTACTGGCTTTGTTTTTATGATAACTGGCCAGAATTCATTCAAATAACCCTGTTTAGTATTAAACGACATTATGGAGCGTAGACATCTTAACAGAGATGAAATGCTAAGGGCCATGGGTATGCTCGAAGCTGGAATGCGCCAAATCGACGTAGCTACAGCATTAAATACAACGCAAAGTGTAATATAGCGATTAAGTGCACGCTACCGTGAAAGTGGTGATGTCGCTGAAAGGCACACAGGGCGACATCGCATTACTACCACTCAGCAAGATCATTTTTTATAATTAACTGCTCGACGCCGACGGACTCTTAGAGCACCAGAGCTTAGTTTAATTCTCCAGGAAACACATAATGTAACCGTTAGTCCTGACACTCTTTGCAATAGATTAAGAGAGGTCAACTTAAGAAGCAGACGCCCCTGGAGAGCTGAACCCTTAACGAGAGGAAATCGAGAGGTACGATATTTGTGGGCTCAAGATCATGTTCAGTGGTCGAAGGAACAATGGGCCAATGTTCTCTTCACGGAGTCACGCTTTGGAATTCATCCGGATTCGAGAAGGCTTAGGGTATGGAGAGAACCGGGAAATCTTATTCGGTTGGATCATGTTCAGGAAGTGCACCCTTGTCAAGGTGGAACAGTTATGGTCTGGGGAGGAGTCCAGTTAGGCCGAAAAACCGATCTCGTTTTTCTTGAAAGGTTTCTAACAGGAATCACATATCGTGATTTAATTCTTGAGCCTGTCGTGTTACCATATGCCAATGATTTTGGGAGAAACTTCATTCTCATGCATGACAATGCACGGCCTCATACAGCCAGAGTGGTAAGTGAGTTTATCAATGCCCATCAATTAAACATCTTACCCTGGCCGGCACAATCTCCTGATCTCAACCCCATCGAGCACGTATGGGACGCGGTCCAAAGAAGAATTTTGAGAATGGGTATGCCTCGTGAAACTCGTAGGGATCTGGTTCGGGCAGGCTGTATCTCAAGAAGAGATCGACAACCTGATCAGGAGCATGGAGAGACAATGTAGGGCTGTAATGAACAGTAGAGGAGGCTATACCCTTTATTAAGTAAAAATGGTTTTATCTTTTTTTTTTAATTCACAGTTTAGAATAAAAAAAATGTGTGTATTTTTTTTGAGTTCAATAAAAATCAAGGTAAATTTGAAAAATTCGGTAAATTTCGCATTTTTATTTCCAATACGTCCTGTAAACTATTTGTTTATTTTAATTTTATTATATCAGAAATGCAAATAATAAAATTACTGACGATGGCTGGAAAAAATTGTAATATCCCTAGACTTTTCCGGTGTGTGTATTTTGACGGAAGATAATCAAAGGCCAAAATGACATTTCTCGCAAATTTTGAAGCATAAATTTTGAAGCATTGACGTTTTGTTGAAATTAAAGGAACAAACTTCTACGCTAATCGAAACCACTAATTTCTTCCACTAATTGCGAGGTTCTGAATGAAGCTTGAGAGTTTGATAACTTTTTCTACTAATTGAAACTACTTCCACAAATTTTGACGTTCTGAATGCTTACATTAAAATTAGAGGAACAAGCTTCTACGCTAACTGAATCCACTAATTTTCAGGTTCTGAATAAGGCTTAAAAAAGAATGGTTTTATTTTACGTACCCTGATACTGGTAGTCTTTTAAGGGGCCAAGACCGATTGATAACGTTCTCCTTCCTGTGTCCCATTTTCTCGCTTTTTTACTACTCTGCGGTTTTATTCCAATGTAACAACGTTTCATTTATAAGACGGTTTCCGGTTTTCATCTTCAAGCACGATCGCGTCACTCGCGCACTCAATTCTTCGGGTTCTTAGCTTGAACATGATCGATGATTACGATGATCGCTTCTTGGATTTTTAATGGATTTTCTCGATACTATAGCTCGATTTTTATTATCTATAAGCGAAAAATACATTGGATTTGGTGTGTGTTTGTGGGTTTTTGTGTGTGTGCTATCGGAGCGCGTTATCATTTTTGACGAAAGCGATAAAAAATCGAATAAAGTAAATTTTTAACTGACTGTTATATAGATATCTAATCAGTGGTACAGTAATATTACAGGGTGTCCCTTAATATGGCACAAAGCAGACTTGGGTAGTATTTGAATACTCGGTATTCTGAATCCTATTCAGAATACTTTTGACTGGTATTCGAATACTATTCGAATACATTTGTGTATTTAGTATTTGATATTCGACTGAATACTTTTTTGGTCAGTAATCAGTATTCTGGATTCTGAATACCGTTTTTGAATCCCAGTATTCAAATCCTGTATCGAATCCCGGTATTCGAATCCTGTATTGGAATCCCGGTATTCGAATCCTCTTTGATTTTGTTTATGAATATTGCGTTACGCTTTACGCAACTTAAGCTTGTTAAAACACGTTCGCGGGGGTTGCGGACGGTTCTCAATTCGCGATGCCGACAATCGGGTTAAATTTCGTCCCATTGCTGCCAAAAGTCAGTAACTTACTTTTTATTACTTCCGAGAAAAATGCGTCTAAAGATGAATTGTATTGCATAAAGATGTTATAGTTAGTAACTATTCGGTATTAAAATAAAACATAAATAGCCAGAAATCGTAGTTAATGACTTTTGCAATCGATTCTCCGCTTCAAAACATATTTAGTGATTGAATTTGGTTGTTCGGAAAAATGTTAGTTAGTGACTTTTGGCAGCAATAGGACGATTTAATCATCGCCAAATCGTGAGACGAGACAGGTCGCTTAAGGATCACGATTAGATATTACGTGTGCACTTGTGCAGTATCGTCATTCTAGGTATTTTATTATAAATTTTAATACCTGTTAAGGTAGCGTATTCACTATCCGAACGAACGAACGAATGTTCATTCGTTCGTTCGGTAGTAGTAACCAGACAAAGTACATCGGTATAAGAAAAGGTAAGTTAATTTTTTAATTAAGTGGGTACATTGTGTAAGATTCATGTATTTTCCTATTAAGTTTTATTCTAGTAATCTATACTAATATATAAAATGCTTGATTGACTCAATGAAATCATCCCTTTAATATTAAAATATTTTTTTATTTGAAGAACCGTTAGTTTTAGGAAAAACGCTTCAACATGTGTATTTTATTTTATTTTTGATATATTTTAAGATTTTTTAAAAATATATACATGGTGTTTCAAAAAATCGGGTCTCTAAATTATCAGCAATTTTGTGGAGATTGTAAATTTCCTTTTCTGCAGATTTTAGATTTGGATAAAGGTCAACTTTATTCAACGTTTCACTAAGCAACAATGATTAACCTTTTATAATTTTATTTTGCCATTTTTATTTGGTTGATGAATATTTCAAATTAATATTCGGATTTTAAAATCAAGGAAATTAAAAATTATTAAATAAATATCTTACGAATGGTTAATTCCGGAGTTTCTATGTATGGTTAAGTAATGGATTCACCTGTCATATTATAAATTTAACTTAAAGAGATTTTTTTGCAGATTACCGATGGAGAAAGATATCGTCACCCGGGAAACCATTTCTGATGGTTCAGAGCCAGAAGAACCGTTTGTTGGAGCCGTTGGAGGTTCGTCCGACTCGGATTATGAGCAAGAGTGCACAAAAAGACGGAGGCTAATTCCTGACTATTTTAATGTCCGTTCTTTATCAGGAAAAAAAGGTTGTTGTTGTTTTATTTATTATTTAAGATTTTTTTAAGAAGATAAGCTTTTACTATACTATATGTACAGTTATTTTTTGTTACCTTATTGTGTTCCATATTTTTATAACTTAAGCACATAAATAAAAATCAAGTTTAAAGTACGGATATTTTTTTTTTGTTGGAATATTCAAAAAGTATTCATATTTAAATGAATCCAGGTATTCAAATACAGCGGTATTCGAATTTTTTTTTCTTTATATTCGAAT